GAGAGGAAAATATATAGTCAGTGAAGACGGGGCACAGCTGAGGGTGAGTGTGATGAGTGAGTGACTGCACCGGTGTGTGGAGTTTGGGTAATTAGTGTAATGAGTGAACAGGTGTATGGGGTTTGGGGAATGGGAGTCCGGGAGCTGGCGCCCTCTGGAGGAGAGAGGGAGAGCACCAGACGCCAGACCCTGACAATAACAACCTATAATGTATTAACTTCTTTCATTTATGTCACTTCTTTCAAAAATGTTGTCAAATGATTTACTTAAATATGGTCATTCTGCATTTGTAGCTGCCTTTCTTCCTTCAATATTTTCGTTGTCCAAACCCTTTTTTGGTTAAATCGTGGCTCCTTATCTTTTCAATTTCTCCCCATATTCCATGTCCCTTTGTCAAGTTTCTCTTATTCTGTGTCTATATTATTAATGTCACTTTGAGGTCTCATAACACCTACTCTCCTGGGTGAAGGACGAACATATGTCATTGTCAAAAAATTACAATGTTTTACTCTGTTCCTTAACTTTTCAGCCAATTTGCAGATTCCAGAAAACCTCAGAAGCTTTTGAAGGCCATTCTGATTTTGGCACACTTGATCTTTTTCACATTATTCAAGAACTTCACCCAAACAAAGTTTCTGTATTGTTTGTATATCTACTTGTAATCTATATGTATTGCCTAATATATTCTTTAGGCTTTTATAATTATATTAATTCTTTAGTTTTCATCAAAGGGATACTCCACCCCAAAATGAAACTTTTGTCATTAATCACTTACCCCAATGTCATTCCAAACCCGTAAAAGATTCGTTCGTCTTCGGAACACAATTTAAGATCTTTTGGATGAAAACCGGGAGGCTTGTGACTGCCATTGACTGCCAAGTAAATTGGATTTTTTTTTGGATTTGGACTTTTTCAAATTTAATTTGCATTTTATGAAGCGACGAGAATACTTTTTGTATGCAAAGAAAACAAAAATAATGACTTTATTCAACAATTCGTGAATTCTCTGTGTCTCTCCGCATCACCATTTTGGAGAATAACCACTGAAACACAAGCAGCGTATGCTATTCTGTGTCAGCCGCGACACAAGGATACGTTTTCTATGTGTATTTACACTTTGATTTGAATGAAAACAGTGCATCCGTGCAGCGCGGCTGACACAGAAGAGCGTACGCTGCTTGCGTTCAGCAGATATTCTCCAAAATGGCACGGAGAGACACAGAGGAAACGAATTGTTGAATAAAGTCATTATTTTTGTTTTCTTCGCCAGTTACAAAAAGTATTCTCGTCGCTTCATAACGTTACGATTGAACCACTGATGGCAGATGGACTATTCTGACGATGTCTTTCATACTTTTCTGGACCTTGACAGTGTAATTTACAAGGCAGTCAATCGGACAGTCACAAGCCTCCCGGTTTTCATCCAAAATATCTTAAATTGTGTTCCGAAGGCGAATGAAGCTTTTACGGGTTTGGAACGACATGGAGGTAAGTGATTAATGACAACATTTTCATTTTGGGGTGGAGTATCCTTTTAACTTCATTGTTAAATCATAGTCTCTTTCAAGGAATGCCTGCTCACCTGGCGGATATATTTCAACACCTCCGAGCAGTTATTTCTGGGGATCCACAGGGAGACGCCAAAGACCACTAAATCGCCCGCCTTTACTACTATTTGGATCCATTCAGAATCACTAAATCACTGACCACCGCATAATCAGCGTTCATTATAAAACACTCACTGCTTTTAAGCCAAATACACGCTGAAAATAATAATTTTACTGACATCTGGACATAAGTCACTATTCTCTCCGCAATCGCTGATGAAATCGGCCGTGTTTTCTCTGCATTAGCGCTGTTTTGAACTTACTCTTTGAATTCGTTTACTGGATCCTTGGACTTTCCATGAGTTTACCCGGTTTGAAATGGTGTGATCGCGAAAACCTGCTTCTTTTCATTTTAAGATATTATTTTCGTTATAAAGTACTGATTCAAATTAGTAATCAATAATTAATTATTATTCTACTACTCTGCACGCCTCCCCTGACATGCTCTCGTGTCCCACACAGTCCGCTTGCATTCATTCACGTTATTGGTTGAGATGAGAGGTGATCCCGCCTGGGTAGTGTGATTTACAGTATATAGTGTCCTTTCTAATCATATAACCACCCAGACCCTGACGCTTTTACTCTGAGTACCGGGAACATGTTTTTTTTTTTCCCCAAACAAATTCTTACTTTGTCACTATAATTCATTATATCTAAATTTCCTTCAGATCAAGCCAATCAAAGAAATTTATGTGCATATAACGTGTTACTCACTAAATTACACTACATTGCATTTTTGGGTCTTGGGCTGTTGGGCAACACTCAGGCCTTTCCTCACAACTTATTTGCTCCATATTATTTCATCATTTCATAATTTGCTGAATTACTAGTTAACTGCTTATCAAAATGAAATATAATTGTTAGAACCACTCGAATTGTTTTACATAGGCAGGTTTTTCTTCATCTTTGCATTATTTCTGGCTCCTTGCCCATTCTCCTCCATCTTGTTTCTGTCGCTCCTCTCCATTTTATGAAGATGAAAGTTTGACCCTCCTGTGCCTCTGCTCTGTCATAAATCTCCCCACTGCAACGTCATCCACACAGACTGGAATCTGTGTTTCAGCAGGTGTTACTTTAAAGCCTGTTTCTGCATGTCAGAAGATCTTCTAACAATGGGTTTCCTCTCCCCTTCTAGAAGATATTCTGGCATCAATCTGTCATTCTGTCATTGATCATAATTAAAAATTATTAATAAATAATTAGTGTATTTAATCCATTAGTCCAAATAATGGTTCTTCATACCTTCATACTCTCTCCTTCTTGGAAAGTTACCTTATCTAATGAGTAGTATCGTTGCCAGTTTTTGTTTCAGCTGAATATTTTGCTTATTAAGCTGAAACATCAGAATCTAGTTTTTCTTTACACTGTTCAAATTAAACGACACCAGAATTGTCAAAGCTGTTCACATATTGCCTTGATTGTCTTGTTGTATTTCTGTTAGTCGAATCACTAAATCCATGCCCAAATTCTGTCTTATTATTTATCAATAGATATGTCTTATTGAGTATTTTTTCTACCCAATTTTGAAAGATCCACTTTGGTATCCCGTCCAGAAACACACTTAGGCATTTATTTATGGCACTTTTTACGACACGTTTTTTGTTGCCTTCCTGACCAACACACATACGGAGCTACGAGTCGTTTCTCTATCAGTCTTTTTCTGCTATTCATTTTTCTTTTTTTTTAAATTTAGGTTTAACTCTTTATGGATTTGCTTTACTTAACATCTACAAATAATACATTGTAATGCCTCATTGCTTCTCAGCTTAGTTATAACAACTGCTCTATACTATTTTTTTTTTCTTACAGCCTCTTTGTAGGTTTATTTTCTGTTGATAATTTTCCCTTCCTTTTATGTCTAATTTAACATTTTTTTTAAATGTCTTTTTCCATATCTTTCTTTCCTCTTTTTTTCAGTCTGACATAACTTGTTAGTTTATACAGGTTTTAGTGATCAAGATCCAAATTCATGACCTAGAATAACATAGGTTGCATAATTTCATATTCCATATTTCTGCAATGTTTTTCCCACACACATAAACTCCCGGAGTTAGATCTGGTACAGAGTGATACTATCTCCCTGATCTTTGCTGATCTTTCTGCTTCAACACACCCAGTGATTACTGTTCTGAGTTTTCACATGCAAGTCCCTCTTCTTTATTGGACTTTTTCCTACACTCCTTGTTTAATTTCTATATTTAGGTGTTTAAGTATATTTCTTAATGCTTCTTATGTGCGTCTTGATCTTTTGCGTTCATAACTCTATTCTTAGTAAGCTGCGTCGTAACGGACTATGCTGAAGCTCCCTGCAACTTTAAATCAAAGCTGTTAATTTCTGTTATGCAAGTGAAAACTCTATCTCAGGAATCTCTCAACTTCCAAACATAGGTATATACTATGTAATTCTTCAACAGGATTCATGTATTTATTTTCAGAGTTCTCTTTTTTTATCTTTTATACATTTTAGTATGCACTGCTTCTTCTGTCTAACAGAATTTTATCTTCTGTTTTTGCTTATTAGATTAGCCCTTTGACTTAATTTAGTAACTAAATGTCTTATTTAATCTCAAACTATTTTTCATCTCAGAGCTTTTAAATCCACTCTGAGCTCTCACTGATTTTGTATGTTAAGATTTAAAATCCTTATAAATTCACCCATATTTGTCAATAACTCACATTTTATCATTTTTTGCTTACATTTAGTCTTGCTATTTCTAACTCATTTAAAGTTATCTTTATAGTATTTGCATTAATCTACCAAATGTCATGTTAAACAATATC